CTTCTTGTTGACACTGAGGGCCTTTTCAATAACACATCCTCCAGGCCAAGGTACACGGCCTCATTCTGTCTGTCCCTCTCCTTTATTTAGCAGTGAGTTTTTCCTACATTTCCTGGGTCACAATCCTTAAACATTGTTTAACTGAAGTTGGAGCTAGTCTAGTGTAAACTCCTTGCCTTCTCCTGTTGCCTGAAATCTGTAAAGAGGGAAGCACGTTGTATCTGTTTAAAGTCCTGATCCAAAGTGTATTGAATTCCATTGCCATCACTGGGCTTTGGATCAAATTCCTCTATTTACTAAGGTTTCTGACAGTATTTTCCCTCCTCCACAGCATTGGTATGAATGTCCCACTCTTCTTGTTCATTATGTGCAACTATTATTCCAAATAAACACAATGTAAGAACCCCATTATGCTACATTTACCAGTCAAGAGTGTAGCAGTGAGCATCTGGGACAGGACTGAACTCTGTGATATATTGGGGATCATAATGTGTTGGATGCTGCTACCACATTGAATGATAAAAGAGATACTATGCTATACAGGCACTTCCCACATATTTATTAGATTGTAATAGGAACCCAAAGTGTAACCACACCAGGACAAGTTGGAAATAGACAAACTTAACATTCCAATTACCTGTTGTTCCTTCTTCCATTTGTTTGTATTAACTTTGCTTTGGAGTGTCAAAACGGAAAGAAAAGTCGCTTTTTTTCATTTTCTGTCAAGACAATGGAACAGCAAGGCCATAGTTCAGTAAAGACTCATTTTGAAAAATAATGAAATATGAAAAAAAAGGTCTGTGTCAATGACACACTGTTAAGAACCTTGATGGCATTTTACTGTGTGAAGGAAACAAAAGGAAGGTGGGGTTGTTGAATGCATATCTAGGGATTTGTATCATATAGTAATTGCATCTCTGAGAAGGAATAAATGCCCATTTTCAGCCATAGAATGATTACCGTTAATTAGCGAATATAGCCCGCAGGTTGTCCAAGTTTTTTCCTACCATGCACTGCCTCCATCCCCCCGTGGGGTATATATGTCTGCTTGTTATGCAATTTGATTTTTACTCATATTACCGGTATCACGTTGTAGTAATATTTTAAAAGACTGGTTTCCACATGTTCGGTATCTCTCTGTGCAAGAACCCTGTTTGCCATGTTTTCTTCTAGATTTGGCCACTTGGCTTTCTTTCCTCGGGGTGCTCTTTTGTGAGGATTTAATTTCTCAATCTATGCTTCTTCTTTTCTTCACTCACGAACAGACTTTTCATTAATGAAAATTTTCTGCCTGCTGCTCTATTGCCATTTTCTTTTGCATATTTAAGAATGAATAGTGTAAAATTGGCTATTTATGATTTGCGCTTAGGAATCTTTAAAAATATTTTCTTGGAATATATTTGTTATAAACTGAAAAAGTTTTAAAACTTTGTGGTTGGGGTAGGTCTTATATACCGGTAGTAGGGTAGTGCATATTGCTTTTTATAGTTCAGTGGCCTCGGCCGTGGTTCATTATTGGTATACCAAGACCCAGTATTATCGGGCTGCATAATGTCATCATCTTCAATGTTTATAGCTGGCAAGTGGCAACCACATCAAAGTCCACCAGATTTTTTTATGAAGGCAGCAGAAGTCTCTTCGATACAATAGTTGAAGACTTTGATCTTTGATAATATGTTAATTGACTGGCAAAATTATACTGGTTTTGCCTTTCATGCAAGCAATAGCTATACTGGTGAATGCCGACAACTTCAAAGTCAGGATGATTACGGTACCGTAGACAGTTTAGGGTTTTAATGGTAACGTAAACAGAAAGGATGATTCATCATACCCTACTATTCTATACTATGCTTATACCTAATGAAAAGGATCCAATACAGATTTTGGTCGTTTATTGTTCTTAACGAATACCTCTGGGTTATGTACGTCCACGGGTATTCTAATATATTTTTTACATATATTAATATATATAACAGAAAAACTGTGGTTAATACATGAGTGCGTGTTATACTTGGATATGTGCTATATTTGCTAATTTACAGTAATCTATACTCAGATGAAGTCTGGTATATACAGGTTCAGAGTCAATAAAGCATCATTATCCACTATTTGCTGCCTTCTTATGGGTACAGCAAAATGGTGGCACCAAAGTGCACTAATACGTTGTACACCATTGTGCTGTCCCTTCCTTGACCTTCTTTTCCCAATGTGTAACCTTTTGCCTCGCTCTGTTAATAAAACAATTTTTAAAATAAAGTGAGGAAAATATTTTTAAAAATTTGTATAAAAGAGTTTGAATCTTAGGACAATATACTGATCTCTTTTTTTCTTAAAAAGCAGTAAACAAAGTAGAAGTGCATATAACATACTGGTGAGTGTGATTATTTATAAAACTGCCGTGCATTGTAGACCTAATATGTCTAAACACACTGATCCATTTTCCATGGTAAAGACTCTACTCTTTAAGTTGTTTAGAGAGTAAACAGTGGCATGAAACCTGAGAAATTGGTAAAGCGTTGTGTGGGCTAAGGGCTACAATTATTTATATGTCTTATATAATAATTGTTTTTCTTTCATGCTCAAACACTTCTGTTAGTGCATTGTCCAGTTTGTGGTGACATACTAAATTCAGTGAAAAGCATGCTACAGACATTTAATGATAAAACATGTGGTTTCATATGTCATAGAGCCCAAAAATTAACAGTGATGAAAATATTTACTTATAGAATGTGGCACAAGATAAACAAAATAATTACAGATCAAAAAGTGACTGAAATAAGATGCATTAACTTGAGAACATATTTTCAAAGGTCACACATTCATATGGAAACCACAAACATGCAGAACTAGGTTGTGCTATAGTGTATTGTCAAGAAAACGTGTCCCCTTTTTTACAAAGGAAGAAAAATTTATTTCACAAAACATCATGTTGCACAAACATGACTCTTCTGGCATAGTTTGCAGAGCATGCAAAAATGGCACAAAATTGACATGATCAGGATTTTATTAATCAGTCCCTATAGCTCTGCAGCATGAAACACAAATGAATCCATGGAGTTTCTGATAATGTAATGAGCTTGAGCATTCTTAGGAGGAAAAAAAAAGAGCTGCAGAAATCAGTACTGTATAAAAGGAAAAAATATACAAAGGCCCTGCAGCACAGAATTTTTTATTAGCATCTTTTGAGCACCAGGTTCATTTGACAAAACAAAAAGCAACTGAGTTCAACTAAATTTCTTTTATTTGTCTTTGGAAAGTTTTTGTGCTTGGGAATGAGCTGTGTATTGATAGTGTTTAAGGACCAAAACTGACAGCATAAGAAACTAGCACCAAACTGTGATGGGTATGTATGGTGCAAGGTCTACTAATTAATCCTGCTTATTTCCCTCAATTGTGTTCCAGAGGGTACTATGGCTCAAATCCTCAACGATATTTAGATACCTAAAGGAGAGAATACCTGAATACCTTTTTAAGTATTTGGGTTTGTGTGACTTCTGAATCCTTTGAGGTTTTTTGTTTGTGGGTTGGTTTTTTTTAACTCCCTGCTGCATCTACCAAAGAAAGGAGCCTGCTGATGCTAGTTATAGTGATAGTTTGGGGAATATGGGTACTTTGCCATGGGGAAATGAAGTGAAACAATTATTTCATTTCACATAAGTTGCCAGGTTGGTTGCTTTTTCTTTTGTTTGCTTGTTTTAGAAAACAGGAATATGCTGCAAACAGTTGCTGTGGCCAGCATTAACTAGAAAGTATCCAGCACAGGGACACTTAGCCAAGAAAAAAGGGTACTGAACATAAACCTCTACTACAGTGTCAGTGAACTGACAAGTACCTGTTTACCAGCAACATAAGTAATTATTGGACATTATAGTATTTCCCTGAATAGAGAAATATGTTATTTGAACCCTACACAAGGAACTAGGTACTTAAAATTGCTTCCCTCACAGCCCTCTCTGGTCTTGTGGAAACCATATGCTTCCTGTCCATCTGTATAATATGGAGAA